GTTTCCCTTTATCCACGTTTCCTATGACAACTTGGAATATTTCCTTCCCCAATGAGGACGAGCTAATTCCTGAGCCCTATTCTCTTCCCCGGAGAGCCCCACACACCCTGTCATCAGCCCTTATCCACAGCTCCTGGGAGTGGGGGACCTTCTTAGGCGCATGGAACTAAGTGCCACAGTATCTGAAGGAGAGGTCGGTGCTTTCCACAGAGGCTCCTGGGATGCCATTTTCCTTCACTGTCCTCTTGCACTTGCTTTGCAAGACCTGCCTCCGACATGGGGGGTAGCCACCAAAGGGATGGGTGACTCAACCTCTCCTCCCGCTGGCTTCCTCGCTGCCACAGAGGCTCAGGTGTGTGAGGGCTCAGCTGGGCTGCTGCCAGACAGCGACACAGAGGCAGCTGAGGCTTGGGCAGCCAGGTCCCGGTAAGCAGGGGACTTCAAGAAGCGTGGATAGGAGTCCTTCTCCATCAGAGTGCGTGTCTTCCCCTGAGCCACATCAAAGCACGTGGCTGTGGCAGCCTGTAGGTTGGTCCTTGTCAGCTCCCGTGTCTCATGGTCTATGTTCACCTGTGGGATGAAGGATGACCACAGGGTGAGGGGAAGAGGCTGGGCAAGTCAGGGGCCCGGCGGACAAGGGAAGGTGGGCCGGCAGGCCAGGCATCGGGAACCTGGGGCATTCTGAGGCCAGTAATTCACTTTGCAGCTCTGGGCCTGTCCCCAGTCTGATCCACTGTCTGTCTTCTAATCTCTCAGAATTCGCATGAGGATATTAAGAATGTATTCAAATCTGACTTTTCACCCTTTCTTTTGGAGCACCATCATCTCTCTCCTGAATTTACACCAGAGCCTCCTAACTGCTCTCTCTGCTTAAGCCTTCTAAAAGCTAAGTCAGGGCTGGACACAGTGGCTCACACCTATAATGCTAGCAGTCTGAGAGGCCAAGGCCAGAGGACTGTTTGAGATCAGGAGTTGGAAACCACCCTGAACAATTGCAAGACTCTATGTCTACCAAAAAAATAAATAAATAAGCCGGGTTGGTGGGGGGCAGCACGTGCCTGTAGTCCCAGTTACTTGGAAGCCTAAGGCAGGAGGATCACTTGAGCCTTGGAGTTTGAGGTTGCAGTGAGCTGTGATGATGCCACAGTGCTGCACTTTAGTAGGAATGACAGAACAAATGAGACTCTTTCTCAAAAAAAAGAAAAGAAAGAAAGAAAGAAACAGAAGACCTCCACTGTCTTCCCAGAGGAAAAGCCAAAGTGCACGCTGGGCCTACACCTGGCCATCTGTCTGACCTCACCTCCTACTCTCTCTTCCCTATGGCCCCACTTGCTGTCCTATGACTATAACAGCCACGCTCTGGCCTTTGCACTTTCTATTTCCTATGTTAGAATGTGCTTCCTTCTGTCAATTCTTTCCTATCTCTCTTTGCTCGATGTCACCACATCAAGCAGCCCACTCCTTTCCTTTTCTAAAAACTAAAGATCTCACCTCCTCCCAGGCCATACCTCTGGGACTCCTGATCTTTCATTTCCTACTTTAGTTTTATCAGACCTTCACCCGGCATATATTTGTTTAATTGGCTATTGGCACCTTCTTCCATTAGAATATAAGTTCCATTATGGTAGGGACTTTGTTTTGTTTACTGCTGTATCTGTGCCTTGAATGTAACTGGTGCTCAATGTATCTTTATGGAATAAGGTGGAATAAATAACAGTGGTCAGAAAATAAAATACAAAGCAAAAGCGAAGGCATGACTCTCATCTCTCCACCAGGTGGCCTTGTTTTTTTTTATCAAATGCAGCTGCCCTGTGGAGCCAGCCAGGAGGAAAGCTGACTGGCAAAAGTGTTCACAGACCATGCCTGCGGCAGGTCAGCCAGGGGACTGAGCCACATTACATAAGGTCCCTGTGATGACCTTGCCTCCCCAGCTGGCAAGTGGGTTGAGCTTCTAAAAAGGAATTAAATTTAAAAAGTGGTTTACAGAAGCCCTAAAACCTGCCAACACATCCTGGCCCATTGTGAATCTGAGGATAACAGTCCCAGGAGCAGCACAGAACCTGGCTTTCCTAGTCTCTGGCCACAGAAGCTCGCTAGCCCTTGTACCAAATAAGGCCATTCTACTTCTAAACCCTGTCCTTCCCCTGCTGACTTCCCACTACCCCTGATTCTCAGTGGGGAAGAATGAGAAGATTCTCAGTGGGGAAGAATTCTCAGGCAGGGTGCGAAGGACTCATGGAACATGCTAGACTCTGACCTCTTTGGGAGCTTCGCTGCAAATGAACTCCTCAAAGATCCGTTGAGCCCGGGAGGTCAGCTTGGTAGCTGATCGGATCTTCTTGAACTCCTCACAGGCCAGCCAGAACTCCAGATTCTCCTCGCTGAACTCTGTCTTCAGGAAAGCATGAAAGGCAGCCACTCCATCTGGGGTTGTGGGGGAGAGAAGAGAAAACAGGTCAGACTGGGGGACAGTAGGAAATAAAAGAAGAAAGGACAGAGATTGCAGTTAATGGCTCTATTTTTAGAACATCATTTTCTTGAACAAGGACCTGCCTTTGTATTCTGAATAGAGGCTGGCACACTAGGAGATCATTATTATTATTATTACTACTACTATTATTTTGCTCACGCTTTCAAGCATCCCTGGGCTGGCTCCAAAGCACATGAGTATACTCGTGCCACCCACAGACAGACACAACAGGATCCTACTCACTTTTACTGTTCAGCAGCAGGTCGAATGACTCTTTCCACCCCAGCACATCTTCAGGGAAATTTCTACTAAAAAAAAAAAAAAAAAAAGTAAGCCAAGATTTTAAAATAAAAAAAAAAATCAACAAACCTAAGCATACCACGAATCCTAGCCAGAACTCTAATAAGTTGCATAATTCACACAGGCTTGCTTGGTGACTCTTGAGGCTAACTCCTCAAACTTATAATCAGCAGTGGTATTTTCTAGTGGACAATTCAGTCCCAGAAACTGAAGCCTAGGACCCTTTGTCCTCAGTCAGTATCTCTAAAGCTGTCCCTTCTCTGTCCAAAAACTGCTTCTATTCCCTTGTCTCTCACAGCTTTGTTTTGTACACATTTCCAGGGAGCCTCAGAAATAGAGATTTCACCTACCCATAACCCCAGAGTCTGGCAAACCTGATGTTCAATATGAAAGGGCTTCTAGACAAGGTGCATGCTAATGGAAGTTGTCACTAATAAAAACTTCAAGTCTTGGACCCTGTCCTAGCCCTGGATTCATATGCAGTGACATTTCCAGATAACAACATTCATGTTCTGTGTGCCATCATCTGTTGGTGGACTTAGAACCCTGGAGTCACCTACTTACTTATGAACCAACCAGCCACAGCAGACCAGCAACATGTCCCCCTAAAATCTCCAGAAGGGGTGGCCGGGGTCACCTAACATGTTTTAGTTTCTCCTTTATTTTCCTTCTCATGACCCCTTTCCTAAATCTGGCTCGCTCCCTTCCAGAAGCTCTGGGCTGGTCAGCACAACTTACCTCTCTTTGCTGTGTTTGCTGCCCCACTCGAACTTGCCAACACTTCCAGTATCAGAGCCCAGCTCTGATTTGTGAAGAAAGATCCCCAGACGTGTCTTGAACTCTTTGGCTCTGAAAGACAAATCGTGAGCATGAACAAATTCTGTTTACTTGGCCAGTGCCAGTGTGAAGTTTATGAGGTCCCAGAAGAACTCCTCTGCCTGGTACCCCAAACTTCCTAGGGCCCAGTTCCTGCTTCTCTCATTAGTAGCATGAACCTCAAAGCAATGACAGTGACATTGAGCTGTGCCTTGGTAGGTCCTACGCTTTGTGAGTTGTCAGTACTGCCTAGATAGGCTTTTTCCTACTGAAATCACACTGATCTGTCTTTGTGCTTATTGATTAGCAGAAGACAAACCAGCATTCTCTAGGTTTGTCAGGAATATTTCTGGAACTGTATGGAAATTGACTCCTGCCTTCTTCTTTACCTTCTCCTTCCCAGCCACCAGTTGCAGTAAGGATGGGAAGCTGTGGGTATCACCCTGGAAAGTGGGTAGGCCCTCACCGGTGGGACCCTAAAAACATCTCCCTGCCTTTCTAGGGGCAGAGGAGACCGTGTAATGAAAACTAAGTGCCTGAGAACTGGGCACACTCAGTTCGGCCCGGCGATGCCCGCATGGTCATCCCGCGCCCGGGTCTCCAGCAGGTCCTTGGGAAAGGCTGTAGTTTGTCAGAGGATGGGGACAGCGGCAAGCCTGGCCCTCTGCGTCCCTTCTCCTTGTTCGTGGCATCTGAACACGTGACATCAAGTTGGCCTCTACCTCTCCACTCAAGTCTCTAGCGCCCATCCCCCTGCCCACCCCAGTCCCCAAACGGGCAGTTCCACCGCCTAATAGTTGGGGGGGACTTGGACTCTTCTTCCCGGCAGCTGGACAAGCTCCTCTTACCTCTCCAGACAGGTAGTAGGGAAGGCGGCAAGGGTGCGGCACATGGCTGCGGGCACAGGGCAGCACGTGGTGGGAAGGATGGTGGCGGGCTCCAGTGGGCTCCGCGAGCTCAAGGAGGCAAGGAACAGCAGTTGCAGGCTCTAGAGATCCGGGTTAGGGTTTGTCAGCCTGCAAGATCCCAGCCGGCGCCGCCGCGGCTTTTATTCCCTCGGAGGGGGCGGCGGGCTGGGCGCTGCTGACCAATCGGAGGAAGGGGCTGGGCGCCTCAAGGGCGGAGGCGGGGCCCGGAGCCCCACGCGGCTCCAGGCCGTCCCCCTCACCCCGCCCCAGCCAACTGTCCCAGCAGGGGGCCTGAGCACGCGGGGCTGCCCCCTCCTCCAGGCTGCAGCCAGCGAGGGCAGAGGGAAGTGGCAGACAAGTGGCGCGGAGACGGGACGTGGACACTCAGTTTAGTAGGAAAAACCCTCCTCCGAGCTCGAGTAAAAGCAGGAAACCAACGCCACGGTGTCAGGAGGGTTTGCGTGGGGGTGATGGGTCTGGGAGGCATACAGGGCGTCGATCATGGAAAAATCTGAGCCCTTTGGGTTCTAAAGACAAGGAGCACAGGGTGCAACCCGGGGAAAACCGCATCATGGTTACACTGACAACTACCGTTTAACTAATGCTCCTACCCGGGTGTACATAGGGCTGAGTAAGGTCCGCATCAGCATCGTGTTCAAGTGAGGAAAACTGAGAGTCACAAAGCTAAAGTCAGCGCGGTGGCTCACGCTGGCTCCCAAGGCAGGAGGACAGCTTGAGCTCAGGAGTTGGAGACCTGCCTGAGCAAGAGACCCCATCTCTACTAAAAATAGAAAAACCAGCTGAGTGTTGTGGCCAGCACCTGTAGTCCCAGCTACACGGAGCCTGAGGCGAGAGGATCTCTACAGCCCAAGATTTTGAGGCTGCTGTGAGCTATAATGACATGGCACTCTACCCAAAGCAACAGAGTGAGACTCTGTCTCAAAAAAAAAATAATAATAATAATAAAAATATGACTAAAAAAATAAGAAAGCTAAAGAGATCTAAGTTGGAAATAGTAGACATTTGGGGGGAGGGGTGACGATTTTACTGTACATAACCTAAGCCTTAGGTAAATAAACTTGCTCAAATATATTCACTTAGTAAATATCGGTGCCAGAATTCCAACAGCAGCATACCTTGCTTTTTTCCCACTGCCCAAAACAAAAGCTAGAATCCCACTGCTTCTGTGGCTGGTTTAAGCAGTTGCTAGCTCAGTGTATCCGTCTCTGAGATAAAGATACCCTGCCTCTCTCCTGGCCTTCCCAGGAAGGTGGTTCCGCCTCCCCCATCCCTTGCTTTCCTTATTTCTAAGAAGAGAACACTGATCCACTTTTTTCATAAGGTTGTTGCAGGGAGTAAGGAAGTCCATTCTTAGTTTGAGTTCCCCAGGAAACAGACTGAGGCAGAGACTGGCATGCAGGAGGTTTACTGGAAATGGAAGGATGCCTTTTTAGACATCCGTGTTTCTCAGCACAGGCCCTTATCCACATGACAAAGTGGCCTGCCTCAACCCCATCAGCAGGACATTTTCCTGGAGGCCTTGGTCAGGCCAGGTGAGGGTCCTTGTCTCACCTGGCGGTGCTCCTGCCCCAAGGCACACTTTTACTGTGCAGCTGCCAGGTGCAGGTGGGGATGTTGTCTGTGAGTTTTTCTCCATTGGGCAGTCTCACCCTCAGTAACACTGTGTGTTGGAGTCTGTCTGGAGATGGTCATGTGACAACAATAATAGTAATTACTCGGAGAATCTCCTCAAACCTTCCCATCCTTTCTGCATCCCTGTGAATAGGCCAGAGGAGGTTTTAAATTTCCGTTTTGCATACCTGCTACCAAACATCCATGCCTGAGGTGGCCTTAGTGAAGTGCACTGGAATTGAAAATGCTGGAAACTGAGCCCTCTCTCCTGATTCCTAAGCTAGTACTTTCTCCTGTTCCATAAAGGAAACAAAGGGATTGATGAGCCAGCGCAGTGCACACAGAAGGGCAAATCTGAGAGCACAGAGCTCCCCGCTCAAGATGAAGAACCCTCTCCTAGTTCAACCTGCCTCTCAGTTGCCATGGTTACCTCTTCAGGTTTCCAGGCAGAAACTTTTTGAAGTTCACGATTTATCCCAAATTCTCTTCCCAGCAGTTTGGTTTTATATTTCCAATTTCAGTAATGCCTGATGACGTGACAGTTACTGTAAATCCAGCAGGTTGAGCTCACTTGTGAATTGCACTGGCTTTGATAAAACCTGACCTCATTTTTGTCCAGCACTCCCACTGCAGCTCTGATCTCTTTAATGGATGGACGAGTTGGGGCACAGCTCTGTGTCCTGGGTCATCTGGAAGCAGCAATCAGGGCAAAGCTCCAGTGAGGATTAAATGTCCCACATGTTCTAGCCACAATGCCTTTCATCTACCTCAGCCCACTGACCCCCAGCACCACCCTTTCCATGGAGGCAGAAGTCCAGACAGGAGTTTTGTCTACTGTAAATGGTTAGGGGAAAAGGAAACCACTGCCTTGATGGCTCATTCAACTCAGAGGATCCTCAGAGTATTCTGGAGCCTCCAAATTCCAACATCAATCTACCTATAAATATTTTATGAGAATTTACTATATTTCAAAACTGGTGGAGAAGCAACAGCTTTGAAAGCTCTTCCCTGGCTTCAGGGACCTTATAATCCAGCTGAGGGAACAGAGCAATTGGGGAAAGGGAGAGGAAACTGCCGTTTGTGGATCAGATGTCAAGGGAAGAGGCTGATCAGAGAGGGTTGGCAGGATGGAAAAAGAAGCAGTGAGAAGGTTTTTAGCGGCCATAGAAGCTGGTGAAGGTTAGATGCAGGACATAGAGGAAAAAGCCTGCTTCAAGACAGAGAGAGAAACAGCTAGGAGACGCTGTAGTTTGGGGGAATGGCAGAGGTGCAGAAAGATTTTGGAATTCCTTAAATACTGGCAGAAGCATTTGGGCTTATGGGGCATGATTGGAGGCCACTTTTAGGCTTAGGGGCATGAAGTTAGCAGGGGTAACAAGTATCTGGATGCAGCTGGATGAGTGAGAATGCAGCAGAAGTAAATCAGTCAGTGGGGTCATTTCCCTGCCAGGTCATGTAGAGATATCCCTGGGCACCCTCTCTTTCTGGGCAGGAGAAGTTGACCCAAATCCAGCCTAGGTGTAGGAAATGACTGCTTTCCCCGATTATCCTTTAGGGCTGTGGGGGCGGCTCACTTTGCTGCTTTATTAGTCCCCTCTGGTTTCTCCTCTTCTTCCCTCCCTCCCTATCAGGCTGGGAGGATGATGCCTGGACTATTCTGTGTGGCATCTGACACTCTAACCATCAGGTCTCACATCCTTCACCTCACACCCTGAATTCCAGCCAAACTCAGCAATTGGCAGGTGTTTGAGCAAACCCCAAGCACGAGATTCTCTTGGCCTGAGGGTCCCTTCCCTCCCAGCACTACGCATTTTTAAATATTTTTCAGTAAAATAATTTTATTTATATGCATTGGGGTATAATTTACAAATAATAAAATGCACGGATCTTAAATGTATAGTTCGATGAGTTTTGACAAATATATACACCCATGTAATCAATACCCAATCACAGTACAGAATACATCACGGCCTTATGCCCCTTCCTGCCAATAACTTCCCTAAAACAGAGACAACCACTAGTCTGAGTTCCAGACCCACAGACTGGTGTTAACTTTTCTTGACTTTTATCTCTAGCTTTGAAATCTAGCTCAAGTACCTTTTCTTCCCTTATACCTCCCCTAAAACACACTACCTATCCCACCCCACCTCCCAGCAGAGCTGACCAGGCCCTTCTTTGAGCCATCCCTGGTACCTTGTTCATTCTTCTATTGTCCTGAACTTGGTCTTAGAACTCATTTGCTGTCTGTTTCCTCTGTGAGCTCCTGGAGGGTGAGGACCATTGTCTTAGTCAGCATGTGAGAAATGTTGATTGAATCCATGGCGCATATTTCAACACAAATAATAAAAGCTAGTATGTATTGAGCACTTAGTATGTGCCGGGCTCTGTTCTGTGTGATTTGGCCTGAAGTGTCTCTTTCAGTTCTCACAATTACACCCATAAGATGGATAATATATTGTTCTCATTTTACACGTTAGTGAATGAGGCAGAGATGGCTTGAGGAGCTTGCCTATGGCCACGAAGCTCATGAGTGGTTGAGGTGGGTTTTGATCTCAGAGAGTCTGACTCCAGAGTCTGTGTTCCAGAGCATACACATGTCAGCTTGCTGTGCGGTATTTCCTAGAACTCATAACTGGCTCACTGTGAGAAAAATGAACCACGTCTTTGGGGAATAATGGCAGGTGATGACAACTCACCCTTCCTTGCCCTGTCATTCTGTTTTCTTGTATCCTCTCCCTGCCTCTCTTCCATACTCACTTCATTCCTCTCTCTCCATTCACTTTTTCCACTTGGTGTCTTTGCCCTTGGCGGTGATTACGTCACTGCCTCTGGATTTTTCTGCTTCTTCACTTCCCAGTCCTGTATGTATTCAGTTCCCCAGGGTGGCTGCGGAGAGCCCCTTTCTCGGCTAAAGTCCCTCAGTTGACATCTGAGCTTTTATTTGTCTTTGGAGGAAAATTCAGAGTTCAGCTGTTGTCCCTGCTACCCTGTGCTTTTCCATCCCTCTTTGCTTGGGGAAGATCCAGGCCCCCACCTGGAAGAGGGCCAGGGTGCAGCTAAGGGAGTCAGCTCTGCAGTTCCCAAAGTCTCTGGGATGTGTTGGACCTTAAGGACCTTTGTCTCTCCCCATCCTCCTGGGACCTGCCTGCTGGTAGATGGTGCCTGATGTTTCTGCTTTCTTGGTCCTTGCATGCTGGCTGACCCTTTCAAAGGCCCAGAGTTTGGTATTTTGTGGCCAGACACATGTGGATTTCTTTGTCTGGCTGTAAGCCCTCGACTCTTTGGGAAGACTCTGCAAATGGCCTAAGTGTTGAGTCAAGGGGAGAATAGGGATTTAGAACAGGAAGGAAGCGTTGTTTTGATCTCGAATTGTGTGTACGTGTGTGTAGGGGCAGGGAACTGAAAGACCCTCAAGAGGAAAGCCTCTGTAAGTAGCTGTTTAAGTCCTAGCCCACCCACTCTCATTTCTGGGGAAAGAGCAAATTGAGCTATCCCTGGTTCCA